ACTTCCATCTTTTCACTATTATGTGACTTGTGCACATGTTATGAAGTCACAGAATTAACCTCTATCAAAAGAAATTTGACCAGAAACATAAAACTTTGTCCTTTGGACTTGAATCTAACCTTCTATCGCAAATTTCACTTCCATTTCAGGTCTTATGTTTCTTGTTACAAAGATCTCAAACCGAAACTGCTTATCTAATATCCCAGTTTCGACATTTCAAATTCTGTGATTTCCTACCCCAGGTTCAATACTAGACATGACCAAAACATCAGTTAGAAAAGACTGAGAATATCAATCTTATATATCAAAACCTTGTTCCTTCAAATCCTCAAACATAAAGAAACAACTGCTTCTAACCCAAACATGTTAACAGAAATGAAATTTGGGAGAGAAATTTGTGATCAATAAAGAGTGTACATGTCTGCACTTCTTCTCCTACACCTTCTTTCTCTCCCCAATCAACACTTCTCCGCAGTTGGGGCATATTCATACAGACTGGACAAACACAAGTCTCGGTTAGTGATCAGCAGATCATGATTGTTGGTATCAAAGTTTAACAATTTCAGTTAATGGACGCAATAATAAAGACGAGGAATTAATCGTATACATCATTTAATCAACCCGTTAGATTAGTTACCTCCGCAATGCAGAGTCTCCAACTATTTGGTGAAGCTCTAAATGGAGACTCTCACCCTGCATAACAACACAGCAATGTTGCAATTGATAACCATACTAAAAATTAAAAACGCAAAAATATGAACTGAATACATTTTCAATGAGCAATTTATTTCCATGTTATTGAATACTACAAAATCATAGTAACATATATATAGCCTCAGGAGAATTAGTCAAGACTCAAGGGTATTTGGTTAATCTCAAACCTGAGACATTTTTCACTTGCTCCTCTTCTCTACTCACTCTTTACGGCAACCATCATTCGATATGTATGGTAGGTCCATCTCCACTAGTGACCAGCTGAAATTTTCATTCCCAGTAAGAAACTGTCCAGGAATAGATCGGCAGAGCAGATGCTACACATGAATGTCCAGGCAATAGATTTCTGATTTCTGATCGTAAAGAAAATGTCTTTTCATTTTCTTTTCAATTGATGAATCAATTAGTTGCTAAATCTCTGCCTCAGCTGCACAATCAACTGCAGCCAGCACCCTGTGCCCATATTTCAGCCTTGCTTTAACATCTTCCGGATGGTCACCGGGACAAGAAATAGATCCAAAAGATTAAAAACAATAATAATCTCCATGTAATCAAAACGACAAAAGAGATCTAAGTCATCTGTGATAACTATAAACTCTAGAATCTCAACAGAGATCAATCAATCAAATCACATTCAAGCCAAAGATCAAACCAATCTAGTAACAAAACATAATGCTTTTAGTTCATTTTTTTATCCTCACAAATCTACCTAAAGATCAATTCTACAAATTTTGCAAGAACCCAATTAATATTTACTCAAACAAAATCAAATCGAAAACGAACTTTTCACAAATCCACAAACACTGACCAGGACTAGAGATCTTCCATTAGCAATCGCTGGCAACAGACTCAGCCACCGGAGTCCTCTCCGGGACTTCTGGTGTTCATCCAAGAACTTCTGACTCATTGAGTAACACAACTCAAGAGCAGGCAAGGTGTTACAAAGTTCGGAATTTCTTCATAACTGAATCCAAAACCAAGATCACAGCACCCCTTTCTCATCAAGGTCTTCATCAGTCAAACTCTTAGTTCTCTTCAAGTCTTCATAGTCTGTTTCCACATAGCCCTCAAGCAAGACTTGGTTCTTCTTCTTCTTCTTGCGGCGGCAAGCTCTTGCTGCTGCTCAATTTAAGAGGTGTGCATATTCTTGATCGAGCCATTGGATTGATTATCCAATATTTTTAGGGTGTAATTAGCTTTTAAAATGAGTGGTTAATTTGTAATTTATTTTGCGATGTTGTAATACTAACGGTATCAAAAAAATATTTTTGATATATGCAATGATATTTTAGTAATATTTCTAAGAATAATAAAGATAGACTAATAAAACGAATTTCACAAACTTTCTCTTATAAACTTAAAATGAAAATTGATAATTAGTTTAACTTGAATTCATCAAACAAGAAAATTTATAAGAAATCAATTATCAACTATCACATTGAATTTGTAAAAAAAAGTTTGTAAAATTCGTTTGTTAACATAATATTACCCTTCTAAGAATACGAAAAATATCAAACGAAATATAAAATACCCCCGTGCTATGTACAACAAACCAATCAAAAACTATTACATCAAGGCACGTGACATACACACCCTTGGGTGGTTGTACATACGTAACATACCATGTGGGTATGAAAGATTTACTCACAATATCATTGCATATTATTGAAACTTTCGATTCATTTTGCTTAGAAAAGTTCCATGATGTTACCAGTCCTTGTCCAGTCACCGGCCTGCATGAGTAAAAGCTCTGAATACATGCGTTTTGATCCCCATAAAACCATTAAAGGTGACACAGTAACGACACAGCCTGCTTCTCAATCACCATATACACAAGAAACAAACAAGAATTAGAATAAACAATATATATTATACTACTAGCGAAAACATGCTCAATTGAACATAAATAAGCAAGAGTTCAAATAACTAAACTTGTTCTTAGATAAAATTCTTATTGATTCAATGATTTTCCACGTTCCGGTTGAGTCGCGATTCTTATTTCCATTATTATTTTATCATTTTATTACCTCCTTTAATTTGTTATAATTTGAATAATAGTTTTTATATACAGTATTTATTACAACACTACTTTTTGTTGAATTTGTAAGGAGATTTAAGTTGGAGAGAAATATAGAAGAGATGTTTGCTAAAAGTGTTGTTATTATTGAATGTAAGGTTTTTCCTGGTGGGGTTTTGGCAAAGAATCTAGACCTCTAAGGCCCAACATTGTTTTGTCCACAAAATCCAGAGTCAGTTTTCTCATTCTAATCAACTCTTGATTTCCATTCTAATCAATTAGTGATATATTCATTTCATTCTTCTCTTACATATACAAAATAAATAAAACAGTAGTTTAAACCCTTTTTAGTATTTTTAACTCTCAAGTTTATGCAATGGCTAAATTAAATTTCTTAAAGCAACCCCTAAAATAAGAATCGTTAATAAAAATATATATCATTATTGTATTCCGAAGGTTTAATTTCATCTTCCATCTCTTCAGAAAAAAAATAAAAAAAAGTTCTTAAAAGCATAATTTCAAACAACAAATTTGAATAAAGAGAGATAAAAATAAAAGGTTCAAGGTATCGAGAAAGAAAGAGAGTTTTATATGTGAGTTGTACTAAAATAATAAATACCCTTTTTTGAGTAATTATTAGTTAATTTTTTATTTTTTTTTAAAAAGAAATTATTGGAGCTTAAAAATTTTGGTGGAACTTAAATAACATTACTCTTTTTTTTTTTTTTTAAATTGATAAGCGATGAGATGAAATTGCAAAATAGCAAAAATGTTTGATTTGTAATTTAAAAAAGTAAAATACCATACAAATTTTTAAAGTTATATTTTAGTATTTTTAATATTGAAAAATGTGTTTTATACAATATTTTTTTAAAAAAAATTCATATTGAAATTTATAAAAAACCGTGAAAACGACTTTTAATTTTTTTTTTTTTAATTTTACACTAATTTTAAGAATTGTATTCAGAAATTGATTTATAAAATAATTCAATGTATCTTCATACAACATGTTGTATCCTTTATCTTCAACCGGGCCAAGGTTTCAGCTCATTTCTTAATGGGCTTGGTTGCAGCTTCTTGGCATACCTCCAGTATGAGAGGAAAATGAAAAATATTTTCATATTCATATTACTCTAATTAATTCGTTAAATTAACACCTATTCCCTCACCATTTTCTAAAGGTTTAAGTTATTGTAACTTAATTATTTTTCCGTTAAGATAAATTGTCCCCTTATCATATAGTTTGATCTAATTTTGTAAAATTGGCTTAGTTGAAATTAAGAAATAAAAATAATTAGTTCTCAACTTTAATTTTCCAACAATTTGATGAATAAAAATAGAATTGCATGAGGCATCTTTATCAGTCTCTATTACTTATCCTTTAAGCCAAATAATATTCCTTGGTGAAAAGGATTCTTCCTTGAACGATAACTACAATCATAAAACGATTCTTTGCTGTACAATGTGCATGAATGACTGACACGCAACTAGTGGACAACTGGTACAAGTCTCTGTCCGGAGAAATTTCTTTCTCATTTCTTTGACAATGAAACATATGTCATCATTCAAGAATCCGCATTAATTTAATCACCTTGTCAAAATATTTGAATTCTAAATTAGCATAAAAAATTTGTCTCAACTTGAAGAATTCTCAGTTGGTGAATAAAAGTTATCATTAAATACCATTAACTTCCTTTCTAAACTCTGTTTTTGCAGCCTATTTAGACTGCTTCCATGTTCTTGCTTTCCATCTTTTTCACTATTATGTGACTTGTGCACATGTTATGAAGTCACAGAGGAAAGAACTTTAACCTCTTATCAAAAGAAAATATGACCAGAAACATAAAACTTTGTCCTTTGGACTTGAATCTAACCTTCTATCGCAAATTTCACTTCCATGTTACAGGTCTTATGTTTCTTGTTACAAAGATCTCAAACCGAAACTTGACTTATCTAATATCCCAGTTTCGACATTTCAAATTCTGTGATTTCCTACCCCAGGTTCAATACTAGACATGACCAAAACATCAGTTAGAAAAGACTGAGAATATCAATCTTATATATCAAAAACTTGTTCCTTCAAATCCTCACAACAATAAAGATAAGTCAACTGCTTCTAACCCAAACATGTTAACAAGAAATGAAATTTGGGAGAGAAATTATGTGATCAATAAAGAGATGTACATGTCTGCACTTCTTCTCCTACACCTTCTTTTCTCTCCCCAATCAACACTTCTCTCCGCAGTTGGGGCATTCATACAGACTGGACAAACACAAGTCTCGGTTAGTGATCAGCACGATCATGAATTGTTGGTATCAAAGTTTAACAATTTCAGTTAATGGAACGCAATAATAAAGACGAGGAATTAATCGTATACAGTCATGTTAATCAACCCAGTTAGATTAGTTACCTCCGCAAATGCAGAGGTCTCCAACTATTTGGTGAAGCTCTAAATGGAGACTCTCACCACTGCATAACAACCAACAGCAATGTTGCAATTGATAACCAATACTAAAAATTAAAAACAGCAAAAATATGAACTGAATACATTGTTCAATAGAGCAATTTATTTCCAATGTATTGAATACTACAAAAATCATAGTAACATATATATTAGCCTCAGGAGAATTTAGTCAAGACTCATAAGGGTATTTGGTTAATCTCAAACCTGAGACATTTTTCACTTGCTCCTCTTCTCTACTCCTTTACAGGCGACCCATCATTCGATAGGTTATGGTAGGTCCATCTCCAGCTAGTGACCAGCTGAAAATTTCATTCCCAGTAAGAAACTGTCCAGGAATAGATCGGCAGAGCAGATGCTACACATGAATGTCCAGGCAATAGATTTCTGATTTCTGATCGTAAAGAAAATGTCATTTTCATTTTCTTTTCAATTGATGAATCAATTAGTTGCTAAATCTCTGCCTCAGCTGCACAATCTAACTGTGCAGGCCACAGCCTGTGCCCAATATTTCAGCCTTGCTTTAACATCTTCCGGATGGTCACCTGGACAAGTAAATAAATCACAAAAGATTAAAAACAATAAATAATCTCCATGTAAATCAGAACGACAAAAGAGATCTAAAGTCATCTGTGATAATCTATAAACTCTAGAATCTCAACAGAGATCAATCAATCAAATCACATTCAAGCCAAAGATCAAACCAATCTAGTAAACAAAACATAATGCGTTTAGTTCATTTTTTTATCCGTCACAAATCTACCTAAAGATCAATTCTTTACAAAATTTTGCAAGAACCCAATTTAATATTTACTCAACAAAACAACAAAATCAAATCGAAAACAGAACTTTTCACAAATCCACAAACACTGACCAGGACTAGAGATCTTCCAATTAGCAATCGGGCTGGCAACAGACTCAGCCACCGGAGTCCTCTCCGGCGACTTCTGGTGTTCATCCAAGAACTTCTGACTCATTGAGTAACACAACTCAAGAGCAGGCAAGGTGTTACAAAGTTCCGGAATTTCTTCATAACTGAATCCAAAACCAAGATCACAGCACCCCTTTAACTCATCAAGGTCTTCATCAGTCAAACTCTTAGTTCTCTTCAAGTCATCTTCAGATTCTGTTTCCACATAGCCCTCAAGCAAGACTTGGTTCTTCTTCTTCTTGCTTGGCGGCAAGCTCTTGCTGCTGCTCAATTTAGAGAGGTGTGCATATTCTTGATCGAGGCCATTGAGAGGGGGTGTGAAGTTTAAGGATCTGGATTCGTGGTGGTTTGGTAAAGAGTTCTTAGATGAAATCCAAGATTCGGGATCAGAAGAATAGCCTCCCATTTTCTCTTCAACTTCTGTCTCTCTGTGTTTCTGTAAGGTGCTTGTGCAAGAGGACCAGAAGTGCTTATAAAGCTGCGTCCACAGCAGAAATAAGTCACTTTTTTATTTGTTTATCCTTTTTATTATTATAATTACAGTAAAACTACTTCGTATAGAAATAAATTCTATATAGCATAAAAAAAACTCAATTTCTAATTTTGGATAGTTATAAATAAAAATAAATTTTATATTATAATAAGTTATAATTTTTATAATTCCTGACTTAAGAAAAGTTACCCCCACATAGTAATAAGTATTTGTCTATTGCTAAAAAATATATTATATTACATTAAAGTTTAAGATAAAATAAAATATTTATCTAAAGTTGTTTAAGATAATGATTTATGCTTAGAGTTGTTACTATGTGTTTTAACTTACGGGTAGATTACTCGCTAGCATGAACATCTTCTTGTTGAAGCCATATATTTCTAGTTTTTCAAATATATTTAGAGCTTTTTGGCACAAACTTTTTGTATTTCTGTACTATTATCATTATGATTATTTTCTTTATCTTCTTGTCTAATTATAGTAATAATTTATTCTTTAGTTAAAACATATATGACGTATTACTCATTTTGATGACTGAAAAAAATATTAATATCCATTCGATTAGTGTAATAAAGTTGTCGAATCCGATTACTAAATTCTACAATGACTCTTTGATTCTCCTCATCCACTTCATTTGTAACTTGCAATTCATCGACATCGGGATTCTAATTTGATAATGATTAAAACAATTGGCAATAGTATGTAACTTCACATCAATTTGCTGCATAATTTTATAATGATTAAAACAATTGACAATAATATATGGTTTTACATCATTTTGTTGCATAATTTTGTTATGATTAAAACAATTGACAATAGTTTGTGGCTTCACATCAATTTGACCAGACAACAATTGCATTTACAATTCCATCAACGACACTTATCTTTGCTGGTTTCAAGACACAATCTTCTATCCGTTTTAAAAGTAGACAATTAAAGCGTTGAATTGAAATCTTAATAGTATTAAAACATCAATTGAAATCCTAATATTGTACTACTAAAACATGAATTATAAAGAATTTTTTGTTATCACATCTCTATTAAGTTATAACCTCTTTATAGTAATAAAATTAATTAATCCTACCATTATGATTATAAAAATGTTTTATTGTATTTGGTATTTTTGTTGGTTTTTTTAATTTATTTAAAGATTTATTTTCATTTTCTTCTCTTATTTAGAAAATAAAAAATCTATAATTACTAAGAATGTCATTAGAAAAAAAAATCGAAAACCCCCATAAAAATATAAAGAGTCTCTTATAAAACTATTAAAAACCGTGCTATAGGGAGTGTTTATATTTTTATTGGGCTTTTGATATTTTTTTACGAAGTTTTTTATATTATAGAGAGTGTTATTTGCTTAATAAATTAAGTAGGTGAGTTATCTTTCAAGCAATTTCTTGGAGAAAAATGAAACAAATAAACCACTCTGGTTGTTAGATGATACGATAAAGATTCTTAAATGTATTATTCAATAAGTCTTGAGTTACTAATAGGAGTAACCACTATAATATTTACCTAGTTATTAACTTTGAGATCTCAAGAGAATTATTGAGGTACGTGTAAACGGTTGGCTGAATTAAAAAAAAAAAATGTATTTTAATATGATTAACATATATTATATTTTGGCTCATCTTTAAAAAAAAAAATTATTGACCTTTTCTATGATTTAATTAAAATGTTAAAATCTTTCTCAGAAAATATTAAAATCTTTCTCAGAAAATATTAAAATCAATGTTTTTTATATACATATGATAATGATAGGATGATGTATATTATACATACATAGAAAAATAACTGTAGGTTGATGATGTATGTATGTGTGCATTATGGTTTATTTTAATTGGTATTCACATATGGGAAAATACTACACAACATGTTTTTGTAAACTTTCTTTCACAATCCTAACGTGGTAACATACAATTAATCAGTTCGTTATGGATCTCGTTTAAGTCTCACTTGATAATTACAGTTGACTAATTATAAACTAACAATTGTAAAAAAAAATTTATGAAAAGAGGTGATGGTGTAACATTATATATATATATATATATATAAGTAATGTTATATTTACACAATTTTTTTACATCATTTTCATTATATTATATGTGTCATATTTTATAATTATATTAATTTTATTATAATATTAAAAATTAAAAATAATTAAAAATTTATGTGATTACAATATATACTACATCATGATATAATGGATATAATAGATAAGGATGTTGTAAATGCAACATTAATAATATAGAAAATACAAGTGAGGTTGATGAGATGGACATGGACAGCTGTAATTTGTGTAGAGGTCGAGGTGGTTTGAAAGTACAGATAGGAAGTGGACAACATGGGGGTGGGGTCTACCACGTGAAAGGTTTGATATTGGTGTTGATTTTGTCTCTAAATGAAAGAAATGTGAACACATCATCATCATCCAGACAAGCAACACATGAAGACTTGTGTGAAGACCAAGCAATATCATCATATATTTCTTTCATTGGAGGACAATGGGGAAAGGAAAATCTTTTTACTATTGCTTTTCCCATGAGATAATTTATTTGGGTCCCTAACTCCCTATAGTTTAAGTCTCCTATAACGATACTCTTTTCAAATACTATCATTTTAATCCTCTTGTCTTACTTACGAATTGTTAATTGACTTAAAATTTATAATGAAATAACAGGATTACGTTTCTAGAAAATAATAGAAAATGCATTACACAAACAATACTAGTGCATTATGTGTTTGCTTAAGGGTTTATTTTATTTATCCTCTATGAGATTGTTTAATATGAAACGTATATGTTATTATTAAAAATGTTATATGATTGATATAATTATTAAAAACACCTTTCAAAAGTATCAAAAACCTTGATAGGGAATATTTAATATTTTTCTAATAATAGTGGATGCATTTTATATGAAACGGTCTTACATGGTTAACTTAAAAAAAAAACCCCTGATAACTTTGAGTGAAAGAGTAGACAGGTTACGAAGGGACCGTTTCGTTTTTGTTGGTTGGTTCAAACTTTTGCTCTTTCCTCATGCCTATCTCACTTTAGGGGGTTCACATGCACCAATTTGTAACTTTATGGTATACTTGTGGATCGGTCAGTTCTTATTTGGAAGGTTGCAACTTCTTAACCGTCACAATTTCGACTCATACTAAAAAGTTTAGCACATTTTTATTTTTGTTATGGGGTCTGAATCACAAAGAGATTTATATGTTGGTGTCAATTAGGCGGTCTTTGGACTTTTGTTGTTATACACGATGTTTCAAACTAAGCAATTTCATTTACATTAATTTGAACTTGCTCATTTGCTCAATGCAGCCTTATAATGCAATAGCATTTTAGTCCAATTATTGTTTTTCTTTCCGTGGTATTTTTATCATTTAATATAATTTCCTAGTCATGATAATCAATTAGTTGTCAAACAATTTTTGATAAACCAAAGGATCAAAATGCTAGTATTTAAAACAAATGTCCTATAAATAAGGCCTAAATCATTTCATTTACTATTTTTTTGAATATTCGTTGTTTGGTTTTTTTTCACATTTTTCTGTTTGCTAATTTGTGTTTCCTTCATTAAACATAACAATGCACATGATTAAGATAATGATTGATTACTTAAATTCTAAGTCATAACTTCTGATTTAATTCTAATATTAACATATCTTTACAAGATTTTGCAATATCCTCTTCAATTCCTAATATATAATTAAGATTCCTTTAATGTTTTATAACAAACTAATCAAATCGTTGTTTCAAAATATATTTAATTTAATCCAACATTAAAAAAAAAATGAATTAAGAGTTAATATAAAATGTTAAACTCAATATATAACTTTTCAATTTATTTTTAATATATCACTTCTATACATATTTTTGTAAGAAGTTTAATTATTATATATATATATATATATAATTATATATATAGTATTATTAAAAAAAATAGTATTTTTTCTTTCTTATTGCTTGTGTATTATAAAGTGCTATTTAAACCAATCAATTGATATTTATAGTTATGATAAGGGTACCTTAGGAATTAAATGTAGTTTTTGTTTTTTTGTCTTTTTGTAAAAGTCCATGAGATTATTGATGGAGATGACAATTTGGGCGGTTGGGGATGACAAAACCCTGTTTCTAAATAGATATGACATCTCTATTTATAGGAATAAATTTTTTTTACAAAAACCTTTATACAAAATGACGTAGTAAAAAATGAATAGAATAATAAATTTAATAAGTTTAACTTTTTATTTTACTCTTTCATTCATTTTTTGTCACTTTATTTTATATGAAAATCTTTATAAGTATAGTATTATTGCTCTATTTATAGCTTCATCTCCAAATGTACAATTCGCAATCAAAAGAGAGGATCTGACTCCTTAATATGAAAAAAAATTAGTATTTTATTTTGTGTTCTTATAATTTTTAATAACTTTTCTAAAATTATTTGTATTCAATTAATATAGACTTTAGAGCATCTCTAATGGTGCTCTTTATTTTAAAGAGTATCTTACATATAAATAAAGAGCATCTTTATTCATTTTTAAATATAAAGAACACAATTTTTATTCAAATCCAATAGACTCTTTAAATTTAATGAATATGCTCTTTATTTTTAAGAAAGAGACTTAATGAGAGAGAAAATTAATAAATAAAATGTATAAGAATTTGTAGTTTATTAATTAAAATTAGGATATAGAGTGAAATTTGACTCTCTAAATGTGGAGAGTCAAACTCACTCTCTAAATTATATTTTAAAGAGAAAGAGTATGTTGAACTCTTATTTTTATGGATAAACTCTTTATAATAAAGAGTTTGGGCATATAAAAAATCATTTGAAGATGCTTTTAGATGGGTTTCTTTTTCCTATCGTTGTTCCTAAGCTATTTGAGAAATAAAAAACCCAGATATATTCGACATTAATAATTGTATATATTAACACTACAAACAAAAATG